CTTAATGCTTTTTATAAAATACCTGATTTTTTTCTCGGTATTTTCTACTTTGCATGGGAAGTAATTCAATGAAATCTTCTGGTCTCTGTTGCATTTGTGGTTGAGGTTAAACGTCTGTGATGATTCACTTGGACTCCATGAACTCTGAATCAGGAAATAATTGTAGTAACATCTGTGTATATGTTTTAAGTTCTTTTGCTCAAAAACGTGAGGGGAAAAACTTCACAGCAGGAAAAGTTTTGTAAATTTTTGTTTGTCATATATATATATATACACACACACAAACATATATATGTGCATGTGTGTATGTGTCCATATACACATATGACAAACAAAAATTTCTTACAATGACTGAAGACAAATCTGTGACACAAGAAAATCCATCAGACACAAATGTAAGAATTGCCAGCCAAATTCAAGAGGTGAAATATGTAAATTCAAAATTACACTTTGGCAGGCAGCTGGGGCCCAAGCCCTCAAACAGCGACCGACTGACCGACCACGAGATGCTGCAAGGGAGCGGGTCCCTTCAAAACAACCTTCCGCTGCGATACACTGCTTGGTGTTCTCCTGCTACACTGTACTTTATGTAATATACTGCACAATAAAACCTCAGAAAGACTGAATTTGCATAGTCACAAAATAAGGATTGGACGATGCAGAGGAAGATGCTGCACAGCATGCAAAACAGACCTCAGAAATAAAGTCACTGTATTTTAAGCAGGGTTTGTTCTTTTTCTTTCAGGCTTTTCTTTCCTTTTCACCATCACAAACTCACAGGCAGGTCTGCAGCCGTGCTTGCAGCAGCCTTTGTCACCCCACAGAGCTCCTGTGGAGCAACTCTGGCCCATGTCAAGCAGCCACATTTACCCCCTCGGGCAGCTGACTTTGAATCCTGCGCTGTGCACGGCGCGGCTGGGCTTGAGGATCAAGCCCAAGGTTTCTGATTTCTCTTGGCACGAGGACGTAGGAGGCAACGCTTCAAAATGCTGACTGCACTCCAGCTGTAGGCTGAAAACTGAGCTGGAGCACTACTTACACCTGGAAAAGAGGAGGGTTCTGGCTACTTTGGTAGGAGAATATTTTACAGTATTAAATATTTTTCTTTTAGAGTTACTATGCACAAACCAGAAATATATTAAATCTTTCCTTAGTGGCTTTTGTGGTTTTTTAAATCTTGGGTAGGAGTTTGGATTAAGAATCGAGAAACTACCTCCTCCCTCCTTACAAAGGAGGGAAGGAGGGGAAGTAGCAAGTGACAGGACAAGAGGAAACAGCCTCACGTTGCGCCAGGGGAGGTTTATGTTGGATATTAGGAAAAATTTCTTCACGGAAAGGGATGTCAAGCGCTGGCCCAGGCTGCCCAGGGCAGTGGTGGAGTCCCCATCCCTGGAGGGATGTAAAAGACGTGTGGATGTGGCGCCTGGGGACGTGGGTTAGTGGTGGGCTCGGCAGGGTGAGCCGAGCGGTTGGACTCGATGGTATTAAAGGTCTTCTCCAACCTGAACGATTCTGCGATTCTATGAATAGTCTAAAAGTCTTACTCTGTTTTACATCAGAAAACCCTGATAATTAAAATACGCTGCTACAATGAGAAAATTTTAGAGAACTGAATCGTTGGAGTTCTATTTCTATCCTGAAACTACTTCAGATCAGCTTTATTCAATTTCAAGTAAGAAGGGCGTTTGGTCGCGCAGGCAGGTAGGGCTCGGAGCCGGAGCATCGCAGGTTTCTCCGATCTGTGCCCATTCTGCTCTCCGTGCCAGCGGCACGACCGCTTTCTCTGCTAGCGCCGCACGAGGCACGCCACCACGCCACTCGCTCTCCTGCAAAAGCGACGGCCGCATCAGACCTTCGGGAGCAAAGGGCTGCCCCCCGGCTGCTTTTGCTGAGGTGAAGGGGCGCAGCTGTGCCGGCGCTGGAAGCCACGGCCGTGTGAACGGAGCGACAGAACTGCGGGCGCGGAGCACGCGGCGCGGCGCTGCCTTCATGGAAACGAGCGGGGAGCGTGTGGGCAACGTCAGAAACAAACAGGCTCTCACAGGAAGACGGACATGTAAAAGTGCAACAAATTTAGCTCCAACTCGTCCACAGGAAATCTGCTGCTGTTGAAACCGAGCGAAATCGCACCCTGGGGATTACCCGACGCGGCTTTTCGAAAAATCGGCTGGCTTGGCCTCGCCACAGGTGAGCTGGTTCCTGAGCGGGCGTCCCGGGGAGCAGCCCCGGCGCCGATTCGAGGCAAAACGCCAGCGGCTCCGGGCGAGCAAGAGCCGCCCCACTGTGCCCCTCACCTCCATGCCGGGCCCCTCACCTCCACGCCGGGCCCCTCGCCGCCCTGCCGGGCCCCTCGCCGTCCCGCTGGGCCCCTCGCCCACTGGGCCCCTCGCCGCCCCGCCGGGCCCCTCGCCCACTGGGCCCCTCGCCGTCCCGCCGGGCCCCTCGCCATCCCGCCAGGGCCCTCGCCGCCCCGCCGGGCCCCTCGCCACCCCGCCGGGCCCCTCGCCCACTGGGCCCCTCGCCGCCCCGCCGGGCCCCTCGCCGTCCCGCCGGGCCCCTCGCCCACTGGGCCCCTCGCCGCCCCGCCGGGCCCCTCGCCGTCCCGCCGGGCCCCTCGCCCACTGGGCCCCTCGCCGCCCCGCCGGGCCCCTCACCCACTGGGCCCCTCGCCGCCCCGCCGGGCCCCTCGCCCACTGGGCCCCTCGCCGCCCCGCCGGGCCCCTCGCCCACTGGGCCCCTCGCCGCCCCGCCGGGCCCCTCGCCGTCCCGCCGGGCCCCTCGCCCACTGGGCCCCTCGCCGCCCCGCCGGGCCCCTCACCCACTGGGCCCCTCGCCGCCCCGCCGGGCCCCTCGCCCACTGGGCCCCTCGCCGCCCCGCCGGGCCCCTCGCCCACTGGGCCCCTCGCCGTCCCGCCGGGCCCCTCGCCATCCCGCCAGGGCCCTCGCCGCCCCGCCGGGCCCCTCGCCCACTGGGCCCCTCGCCGTCCCGCCGGGCCCCTCGCCATCCCGCCAGGGCCCTCGCCGCCCCGCCGGGCCCCTCGCCCACTGGGCCCCTCGCCGTCCCGCCGGGCCCCTCGCCATCCCGCCAGGGCCCTCGCCGCCCCGCCGGGCCCCTCGCCCACTGGGCCCCTCGCCGTCCCGCCGGGCCCCTCGCCATCCCGCCAGGGCCCTCGCCGCCCCGCCGGGCCCCTCGCCGCCCCGCCGGGCCCCTCGCCCACTGGGCCCCTCGCCGCCCCGCCGGGCCCCTCGCCGTCCCGCCGGGCCCCTCGCCCACTGGGCCCCTCGCCGCCCCGCCGGGCCCCTCGCCGCCCCGCCGGGCCCCTCGCCGCCCCGCCGGGCCCCTCGCCCACTGGGCCCCTCGCCGCCCCGCCGGGCCCCTCGCCCACTGGGCCCCTCGCCGCCCCGCCGGGCCCCTCGCCGCCCCGCTGCCCTGCCCAGGGGCCTGGGCTGCCTCACCGGGACACGCAGGGTCGGTCCTGAGCTCTGGCGGCATCGCCGAGACCCCCCGGTAAAACACCAAAGATCTCCAGCAACAAGTGAGAAATCGTTACCTGTTGTTCCTACTGTTGAAGAAGAAATAAAGTCTGTTTAAAGTCAAAGAGCGCTTTCAGTGAAGAGGAGAGATCTAAGTTTCTGGTACTTAGTTTCTTTTCTGAGCAGGGAAACAAAAAACCCCAAATAGTGGTAACTTGAATTTACAGGACATACAAACCAATTCATTGTGCAGATGAAACAAACTTGAGCATGGAAATGCACTTGTGGCTGTCCCTGAACGCTGAAATTCCCTGCAGCCCTTTGCCTGTTCCTTAAGCTATCCAGGTGACAGTATTGTTTAAGTATTTCTAAAGAATTATTTTAGTGTAATTAAAACAGCTGCAGGTTCAGGAGGGCACTGACCACTTACTCTGCACAAACTTTGGTAAAATTCCAAGCACAAGATGACTGTCAGCAGTTCTTCACTGTAACGTACTACTTCCTGAGAATGTATTTATAAGAAAAAATTAGGAATTGTTTAAAAATAGCTGCTAACACTTCTCCAATGAGAGCACCAAGGGCAAATGCATCCATGGGTATGCTGAGCCAACATTTTTTTTTTTCCTATAAAAAGGGAACATAATAACTGTAGTGTTAAATTGGAACTCAGCACCCCATTCCGGTGCAAATCATGGGAGCAACTTTCAAGAAAATTCGCATGTATATGTTACAGCTTGATTGCTCCTTTGTTCTCTTTGTTAGTTTAAACAGTAGAAAATAGCCAATTCCTGTTCTTATACCATTCCAGAGTTGGTTTTTATTTGTGGATCAGGAATGAGAAACGTGGGCTCTGCTTCCCTTTAAAATTTTGAGCTCAGTTTTCTACATGCCTTTATGGAGCTTTTATATCTGTTTAACTGTGACTAATTTTCCTAATGCCACCTAGTAGTAAGCCAGCCAAAAGCTATCCTGATGCAAAGGAAGGCAGAAAAAATAATTAACATATAATCCAACAACAATTTAGGTTAAAAATGTATAATCCAAAAATAGCAGCCTAAATATTTGCCAAAGGGAAGCATTTTAAGCATGTTTGGATCCGATATTGTTTCACTACCTGACTCATCACCAAAGCTGGGAGAACGACCTCCTGTCGTTCCAGCCGGCTTTGCATTACCCTGCGCCTGGGAGGGGGGACTCACAGATTTCAGCTTTTTGCTCTGTCCTCTGGAAAACTGCAAATTTAGGTTCTTTTAGCAGCAGCGGTAACAGACTACTTTAATTTTACCAGGTGTGTAGTAATTTGAAAAATAGTTTGAGGTGTACGCTTCTGTGAAGATAATGAGAAACAAAGGAAACGTGCTAAGAAGTTAAAAACCAATCACAAACCTGAAAACATATGCAGTATATGCGGGTATCTGAGGTTTTACAAAAAGATGAGTTCCGAGGAAAATAAATCCCTGAGCACCAGAATAACACCTAGTGAAAATATACACAATGTACTGTTTCTGAGCAATTCCAAAATGAAGTTTTCATTGTTTTTTTATGTCACAGCCAATTTATTTGTATGCAACATCTCTGACAAAGACATTAAAGAGCGTTCTTCAGCTGGCTGCTATCTCTGGCATGTAAATGAAATAGCAGTAACTGTTCCGAGACACCAGCACAAATACGAGCTCGTTATTACGCCTGTTTCTTTCCAGTGATTTGCAATACGCGTATCACCTCTGGTGACAAAATGTCCTGGTCAGTTCTGCTGCTTGCCGCTGAAACGTCGCATGGGTATGAACGATCTGCTAATAATAATTCTTCCTGGGAGCAAGGCAGGGGTTGAGGTGTTACTTCACGATGACTTTGTTCTCGCCCTGTTCAGAAATGACTAACAGGGAAGACGGAAGGGAAGCGGCCCCCAAGTTCCCCGGCGGCTCAGTCAGCCACCCCGTGCCGCGTCCCTCTCCCAGCTGCTCCTACGATCTGTTCACAACGGCCACAGACAAACCACCCCCGGCCGCGCCGCCGCCGCTCCCGGCCGGCCCTCTGCCAGCCCCCAACAGCTTCCCCCAGCCCGCCGCCCAAACCCACCGCCGCACGGTTTCAAGCAGCGTTCCCAGAAGTTGGCTCTGCCTCGACACCGCGCCCCCGCATCCCGACGCCCCGCCAGGCCCTGGCCGGTATTTTCACGCGAAAGGGATGCGAATCGGGCAAACCTTTGTGGTGGCGGCGAGCGGCTCCCCGGTCCTCCGCCGAGCTGGCATCCCGGCGCGCGGCATCCCGATGCGCGGCACGGCGCCGTCTCCAAGGAAACGGGGCCGGCACGTGACCCGGCAGCTCCTGGGCCCGCGGGATGCTAGCCGGCAGAATGCCTCGGCGTCGGGGAGGGCAGTCAAGGGTGAACTGCCCAGCTACAAAAGCACTGAGGATTCATTCTGTTTTTCTGCTTTTTTTTTTTTCTTTAATCTTTTTATACCTAACCCAGTTTGATCTGTTGGGAGGTGAGGGAGCAGACGCGCCCATTACTCTGTCAGCCAGAAGCAGCACACGGACGCGCATGGAAAGTATTGTAACCAACAAACAACACTTCATATTTCACCACGTTCTTCCCCTTGAATTAACACAAAAGCACAAAACTTACTCCTCAAAATATTCATCCAGAGAAACACAAACACGACAAAGGAAACGCCGGACTGAGATGCAAACGCTGGCTCTTAGAGGCAGAACAGTGCTGTGGCTCCCTAACGAGCTGCTCGCAGCCAGCTCCGGCGCGTCCCACCTGGATGAAAGGCAGTACGGAACAGTTTCCCTCCTTTGTAAAATTCTGGGTCCCTAATTATTTGCCGTATAGACAGCTGTGATTCTCAAAAGCCCTCAGCGGATCAGCCTCCTTCCCACCCCAACAGGATGAGCGACCTCGGTAGATGGAAGGCTTCGCTACCTGCCGCGTGAGTGAGCGGGCTCCTGCCGCCCGCAGCTGAGGGGGCGCGGGCCAGCCGGCGGCCCCGCGGCGCTGGGGAGCGGCAGAGGCTTGCAGGGAAGCAAGGAAGGAAGAAAGGGAAGAGCAGCAGAGAGGAAGGAACAGAAACGAAGACTGACTAGGATAGAAGGACAGGTCTAGCCAATATACACACCCTAAAATGCAAACTCCTGGACGTTTTGAACTAAAAGAAAAAATAATATATGATTCATAAGCTGTAAGTATAACAGAGATTCTTCCACCATGTAATCTGACCTCCTGCATATAAACAATAACCGAACAAAAAAAAATAAATTTCACCCATTTAGTCCAGCACTGAGACAAATTATTTAAGCTTGTCTAAAGCCTGCTTTCAGCAAGATCAGATGTAAGGCATCAAAGAGAAAAAGTCACAACGACTTCCCTTGGTTGTTTAATCCATTACTATCTAGAGCATAAAAAGCAGATTCTTAACTGAAATTTGTTTGGTTTCAGCATCGATAGCTTAAGCATTAAAGAAAAAAGTCTCAGCTCCTTTTTCAGGTATAAAAGGAATTATAATCAAGGCTCCATATTCTGTCCCAGAACAATAGCATTATTTCCAGAACCATGATTGCGAGTACAAGTATTATAAAATGTTAAATTATTATTAAATAAATATTGACAACATCCCATAACTCGATGACATAACATAGTACCTTGCTCCCATCACACTGTCAGGGAACAGGTGAGAGCTGCTTACTCATACTGTAAAAAGGCCATTACAGGATTGATGTTCCGTTTGAATAAAAGAGCATTCAAAATAGAAAACCAGAATTATAATCCCACCACGTGGTGGTTCCTATTCATTTTGCTGAATAATATCATAACAACCTTCTACCAGCCTGAAATCAAGAAGAGATTTCTCTCAGCCAGCAAAAAAAAAGAATGCACGTACCCGCAGCCTACCACGGAAACAAACAGAAAGAATTCAAAATAAAGAACATTTTTGTTCTGTCGCGGAGAATAAGAACAGCTGCAGTCAAAACAAGCACATCATCCAAGCCTTTCTACTCTGAACACTTCAATTATAACAGTGGCCAAAATGCTTCAGGAACCCCCCCCCAAAGCCGGCAATAAAGAGCAACCCCCTTCGAGGGCCCGGGGGCCGGCGGTGCCCAGGACCGCCAGCTGGGACGGGCTGGGGTGGAGGGGTGATAGCCCAGAGGAACACGGCCCCCGCGCAACGCCGCAAAACCATCTGGGGCCCAGAGGTGGGGAAGTTGCCCCGTCCTCCAACAACGGCCGGCTGGCGCCCGAGAAAAGCCCCTAAATCCAGCCCGGGTCCCTCTCGTGGCGCGAGACACGGACCCCGGCGCGGCAGCCAGCTCTGGAGTCCAACCCGCCGCACACGCTGGGAAGGAGTTTCCCTCTGAGACCCAACAAAACGTGCGTGGGGCATCAGACCCATCAAACCACCGGCGCGGAGATACCTAAAAACATTTTCATTCTGAAGAAGCAACGATCGGGACGACTACGGAAAATCCAGCGACATGCCTCCTTCACTGGGAAAGGAAAGAAAACTGAGTGTAGCAGGTGGTGCATTCAGATGCAAAACCTGACAGAATACCAAAATCAAGGAAAATACGCATTTTAAACATGTTTCACTTTATAGCCCTTTTACAAAAAAAGATGTCATCTGCCTTCTGTTAAACATATTTACATTTTTTAAATGTGTATTTATGTAATCTTAGTGAAAAATGCCTATAACGTGACAGAAGCAGACAGCGTTCCTCAGCAGTGACAGAATGAGTACGACAGTTAAAAATAAGCCATCGTATTCCAGCAAGACAAACCCACACCAAATGCTTATGCAGATGTTAGGAAAATGCAGCAGTTTTCAAAAAGATGCAAAAAGGTGAAGCCGACAGGACGCCGCGACCCCCCAGCGGTGCGCGAGCCCCCAATCAGCGGCGATAACGAAGAGCTGCTGCTCAGCGTCTCGTGGCACCCGCGCTCCCCGAGGTCTCCGCGCTCTCCTTTCGCCGCGCTACTCCCACTCCAGATGGGAGAGAATTCTCTCGGTCACCCCGTTTATCCTCTCATCCATCGAGCACAGAAAGGCAACAGGTTGTTCTCTCTCCTGTTCCTGGTCGTCAAAGGGAATAATTGCCTGTCAGTAACTTACAGGCGGCAGGTCCAGGACGGGGAACCCCGTGCAAGAGACCCCTCCTTGCCCTGCTGGTCCCGGCCGCGGAGGAACTCGGGTCTGTCCTTTCCTGCTGCTACCCAGAGCAGCACCAAGGGACGGGGGGTGCTCCTGCGCCCCAAACGCTGCCCCGACACCCCACGCACGACGGGGTGAGGGACCTGGGGGGCTGCACGGGGAGCGGGTGCTCCCTCAGCCCTGCCCCTCGCTCCCCCGCCCCGCGAGAGGCCCCGGGAAGCACGTCGGACGTTTCCCTGCCACGGCCGGAGCAGCGTCCCGGCTACGCCGCGGGGCTGGAGGGAGGGCATGCGCCCTGCCACTTCCCTTTTCTAAGGGAAAAACGTCCCAATCCCCGGAACACGCTGCAGCACCGATAGCTGTCGTCTGGCAGGCACCGCAGCCTCCTGGAGCGGCATCGGCCGAGCCGCCCGGCCCCCGCGGCTGCGACAGCTCCCTGGTCCTGGTGTCCGCTGGGATAAAGTTAATTTTCTCCCCAGGAGCTGGTCCGGTGCCGTGCCGGGATGAGCGCGGGAACGGCGCTGAGAGCACGGGGGTTTGGGTTGTTGCTCAGCAGCGCATTTCCGAGGTCGAGGCTCTTCCAGTTCCCCGGGCTCTGCCAGCGAGGCGGTGCACGAGCGGCTGGGAGGGAGCTGGCCCGGAGAGCTGAGCCCAGCTAGCCCAAGGGCTACTCCAGGCCACCGGCCATCGTGCCCAGTGCACAAACGGGGGGGGGAGCTGATCCCCACTCGGGCAGCGGGTGCGCGCAACTGCACTGCGCATCACTTGCCTTGTCTTGGGTTTTATTTCTCTCTTCTCATTTTTATATTCCTTTTCATTACTATTCTATTCTATTATTATTATATTTTACATTATATATGGTTATTACGGTATTTTATTTTAGTTACGGAACAATTCTTATCTCAACCCACGAGTTTTACTTCTTTTCCCCATCCCACCGGGGCAGGACGTCCCACCCGGGGGCTGGAGCCGCTCGGCAGGCGCTGCCCACCACGGCGCCGCCATCGGCCGGGACGTTTGTGCCTCGCTGCTACGAAACTGAAAATACGAACTACAGAATATCAACCAAGTTTGTTCTTTTAAATGGATTAAGGACTGCCAGATCTCAAAAACATCTGTCAGTTTGTAATCTTGGAAATTAAATGATCTTAGTGGGTTTTTACAGCTACTGTAAAAGATTTGAGGCTTTTAAAATGAGCCTTGATAAATTGTATTTTAATATTATACTATATTTAAATAAGGCCAAATGTAAAAATACACATCTAGGACATAAAAATGCAGAGTTGATCCAGAGAATAGCACTCCATTTCCAAAAGCAGGGACTACAACTGAGGATTTATAGACCACAGTGGACAGCGAAGGTGATTTGTTAGTGGCAGAGCTAACCTGATCCTTGAAGGGGGGTGTGTGTGTGTGTATTCCATACATATATATATATATATATATATATATATATATATATATATATGGAAGTCTATTAGTGTTTAGGTAGAGAAATAAAAACAAAACCAGGACTGGAAACAGAACATAGCTTAAAAGAAAGAAAATGGAAATAAACCACAAATATTAAGCAGGAAGGAAGATCATTCATTCAAAAAAAATACTATTCCAGAAACTGGGCATTTACAGCCTCTGGAAATCATGAGCGAGTAGCTTTATGGAGGGTAACCTTTCCCAAATACAAATTACTGGGCTCAGTAGAGAAGGAAGGTGGTGGCATTTAATGATCAATGAGATACAGGAGGTCAGAGGGGCTGATTTAATGTTTTCTGACCTTAACTTCTATAAAAAGTCATCTTTGATGTATGCTTGCAATAAATACCAGCAACCCGAGCTTATTTCTCCTTCCTTTCCTTTGTGTTCATCTAGATTTTATTTAATAAATTGAAGAAGCCGATGTGGATCAGCAACCCTTGATTCTAAGAGAAAGGATATACATTTTCTTGGAGGTTTTCTGAAGCTACAAAGCTTTTACAGGAGAGTTTTCCAGAGAGCTTCCCTAACTGGAAGAAATCTGTGCGTAGTTTGCAGTTTTCACTAACGCTCGCCAGCCGGGCAGACCAGCCTCACCTCAAGGACGAAGGAGCACGACGACACTGCGGCTCAGATCGGCGTTTCGGCAGCAGAGCGGGCTGGGCCATCTCACCGAGCTGCTCCCCCGGAACCACCGGCCCGGCCCCCCCAGTGACACCAGAGGGGACATCCCGGGCCCCCTGGGATCGGCTTAGGGACCCCAGTGCCCACCTCCATCCCCCCGAAAACCGACCAGCAACCTCTGGCTTTCGCTTCCCTAGCCTCTAACACTTCCCAGTACATCAGAAGACCTCTTTTCAATCCCATGCTAACTTCATTTCTTTAACAGCCTTTGACAAGGGATCCTTTCAAAGGCTTTTTGAAAATCCAACCATTGGAAATGCACGGGATTCCTGTGATCCTCCATCAAGGACCGTCGCTCTCACAGGGGTCCAGTCACTGGGCAAGGATGGATTGATTTCTCTGAGAGGGGCTGGAAACCCTAAGTAACAACAGTTATACATAAAATTTATTATAAAATAGCATAGGGTTGGGCTCCTGAGGGTTTCCATGCAGAAACCAACAGTGAAGCCTTTAGTTTTCCCCTGTAATTTATTGCAATGGGCATTCTGGCAGTTATGTAGTTAATCAAAACCCAACACAATATTATTTTTCTTACTAGAAGTGTTGTTTTTTGAGATATTTTAAACAGAGTGGTTTAAAAGGATGAACAGACGTAGCGTAATGCACAAGTTATGACATTAACTTGATAGCCACAGCGGAATGGTGCCCAGGGGACCAGGACACCCGAGATCCAGTGGCCAGCATCACCCAAGTACGTCCCTCTCCCTTCTCTCTCCTGGGGAAGGGCACGAGGGCAGCTCACAAACCACCTCCTCTGAGCCACAAACGCACCTCAGACACAGGTGTCTTGGCACCTCCAAACC